CTCGAAATCATAATATATCTATTTATATACACATACGTAGGTCTACTATCAAAACTATAAAAACTCTCCAAGGCGGCAGTTCACTGTCGATAAGAAAAACTGTTATCTTAGACAGGTGAACATTACAAATAAGGGGTCAAGTAGGAAATGGTCCTTTGTACAGGGTACAAGGTCTTGGGCAGGTGGCTGTTAGAGCAGGTTCGACCTTCATGATGTTGACAGTAGCCTAGGCAGGGAGGTATAGATCTACACACTTAGTGGCAATCATCAGACACGACTAGTTCTGTAGATCTGCAGTAAGAGACGAAGAGTCGTGTCTTTGTTTCTAACCCCGGAGCCCTGATATATTCTACTGGAACATGAGTGCAAAATATTTTCAGGATAAAATAATGTGGCTTTGCCTTTAGCTCAATGTTGTTAGCATGAATTAGTTTGTCAGCGGTAGGTATATTTGTGGTGTGTGTGCTCTAGGCCAAGTTTAAGATTATTGTTTACGGATCTGCCCGCCGAGGCACTGTGATAGCCACCATTGATGGCTTTTCTTGCAAAGTTTTAAGGTCTTCCCGACGTTTTAAACTTCGTGTTGACAAGTGTCTATGCCCGTGGCATCATTCTGTGCCGACTGCCGTCAGATCATGTGTGTTCTTGTAAGATGACTCTAAGAAGAACAGGTTAATGGACCTAAACGCACCAAACCACGCCCGGAACAAGTTACCTGAAAGTAAGTGAATCGCGTCTGACCTGGAAAGATCTTACAAGAGAAAAGCATTGAATTACGTCATTGTGTAGAAAAAATCCCCCTCCCCCTGAAAATAACAACAACAAACAAACAAAACTCAACTCATTTTGTAAACTTGATAAGAAACGTGTGTCACCTCAAAGTGCGAGTGGAGGCGCTCGTGGCCTAGTGATAAGGTGTTCACCTCTCATTCAAGGGGTCCCGGGTTCGAATCCCAATAGCAACGGAACTTTTTATTCTCTGGGCTTGTCTCCCCTCGCCTCCCTTAAGTGGCCTTTAACTACTCTCTAGCATGTTCTGTCGTCTGCTTTCGTCTCCACTTTCTGCCCCCACCCCCTAACCTCCTTTGCCTCCTCTTCTGGACTCCGGACTCTTTCTGCAGCCTTTCGACTGCTACTCCTTTGCTCCTTCAGTCACACCCCTGATCTTATGGTAGCAAAGATACTACATCCTCTCTTCTCTGACAAGGGCGAAAAATCTCGGAAGACTCGTGCGCACGTTTAAGATCCCTAATTGGTGGTCTAAATCGAAGTAGGCTTCGCCGGCACACGGGCAAAATTCAAATTTTTCTACCAAACTGAAAATGTTTCATCTGTCCTGCGCACTCATATATGACCTTATGCAGTTGCGAGCGCCGTAAAACACTTACATAATAATAATAATAATAATAATAATAATAATAATAATAATAATAATAATACACGATGGTGTCAGAAAGAAACTTGAAAATATAATCACCCAATCGTCGTGTTAAAGCCTTGCATTACCCACTCAAGCAGCATACCTATTAAAAGCTAGTAAATTCTGCTTCACCTGACATAATAATATTTCATTTGTGTTAAGAGACGCCCGAGATAATAATTAGTCACTCAAAATTGACATTAAAAAATCGGGTTCGGCCAAATTGTGCGAAAACAAAGAAACGTAAAAGTGTGTTTGCGCATGTATGTATTGAGGTGCATCAACAGTGGAAGAATGGACATGTATTACAAAAGAGAATATTGTTGTCTATGCAATGAACAGCATTATCTGATATTTTCATATTGGAAAACAGAGCAGTCACAAATATCTCGCAAAACCTGGGTTTAACACTACCCGAGCTCATATAGTATGATTTTATTTTTAGTTAGGAGCTATTGGTGTCATGTAGAGCACGAAACTTTATTTTGCTCATGGACGGTGTTAATTAGATTTTTGACATAATCATAGAGGAATAGAGTACACGAAACTGCCGTGGTTTTGAGTGGTCTGGGGTAGAATGAACAAACCGCCTTCGTGAGAATCACCGGATGGCTTGCTGGCGCAAGTGCTGAAACGTCATGTCTTAACCTTATTTTTTTTTAAATGTCGTCATTCAAGTAGGCATTTCCATGCACACACCAAAGCACGTTCTCACAGGGCCAATATGCCGCCAGACAATTCCTTGAAAACCAAATCATATCAACGTTGGGGTGGTCACCAGTAAATGTCCCGATATGAATTTTACAGGTATGTGAAGCCCCATGAAACAGCAGCTGAAGAAAAGTGACTTTGCTCCCGATTTAGACCCTTTGTTTGCAACTCTCAGTGACATTTGGGATGAAATAAAATACAGATAATTCTGTCCAAAATTTAATAGAGTCGATGCCCAAAGGGTTCGTGCTCTACACAAAACCAATGGCCCCTAAGCCAAATATCAATGAGCTCATTAAATACTAAGTCCAAATTTTCCTTTTTGTTTGTATATAGGAATAGAATACCGTTTATTGCAGAGACGAAAGTCTGCAATAATTGGATATGCAATGTATGTCCATTCTATCAATACTCATTCACTGATGCTCCTCAAGAAACTCGCGAAGACAATTTTACGTCTCTTTGATTTCGCACAATGTTGCCTATCAGCCTGATTTTTTAAGGTCAATTCTGAGTGACCATATCTCGGGTTCTCTTACAATAGATGAAATATTATGTGCCAGATGATACGCTGCATGAGGGGGTAGTGCAAGGCTTAAACACGATGATTGGGTGATTACATTTTCAAGTTTCTTTTGACGCCATTTCGTTCGCAGTCTGTACCCGTTTGTATCAAATGAAGTTTGGTTAAAAGAAGTGCTTTTTGAAGTATATTCATTTTCCAACAAATGAGGAACATTTTCATCGGAAACAATTTTTTGAAAACCAAATTATACCAACGTTGAAGTGGTCACCAGTAAATAGCCCCAATATGAATCCTACAGGTACGGGAAGCCCCATGACACAGCGGTTGAAGAAAAGTGACTTTGCTCCCGATTCAGACCCTGTTTGCAACTCTCTGTGAAGTTTCGGACGGAATGACATATTATAATGATGTCCAAAATTTAATACAGTTAGAGTCCT